GAAATGTAAATTGAAGCTTCATGAGATAATACTACCTACCCCTTAGAATAACCAAAATCAAAAAGACAATCTCAAGTGTTGGCAAGAATATGGAGCAAACAAAATTTTCATATGTTATTGGCCAAAATGTAAAAAGATATGACTACTCTGTGAAACAGTTTAGTAGTTTTTTTCTTTCTTTCTTTCTTTCTTTTTTTTCTTGAGATGGAGTCTCACTCTGTTGCCAGGCTGGAATGCAGTGGCGCAATCTCGGCTCACTGCAACCTCCACCTCCTGGGTTCAAGTGCTTCTCATGCCTCAGGCTCCCGAGTAGCTGGGATTACAGGCACGCACCACCACACACAGCTAATTTTTGTATTTTTAGTAGAGACGGGGTTTCACCACGTTGGCCAGGATGGTCTCGATTTCCTGACCTGGTGATCCACCCACCTCGGCCTCCCAAAGTGCTGGGATTACAGGCGTGAGTCCCCACACCTGGCCAGTAGTTTCTTACGAAGTTAAAAATGTACTTATCACATCACCTAGCATTTCCACTTCTAAGTACTTCCTGAAGAGAAATGAAAGCATACATAGCTGACCCTTGAACAACATGGGTTTGAACTGCACAGGTTGACTTACATGCAGACTTTTTTCAATCAAATGCGGATTGAAAATACAATATTTGCAGGATGCAAAACCTGCATATACGCAGGTTCTGTCGGGCTGACTGCAGGACTTGAGTATATGTTGAGTATATGGATTTTCTTTTTTGAGACAAAATTTCGCTCTTGTTGCCCAGGCTGGAGTACAATGGCATCTCAGCTCACTGCAAACTCTGCCTCTCAGGTTCAAGTGATTCTCCTGCCTCAGCCTCCTGAGTAGCTTGGATTACAGGCACATGCCACCAAGCCCAACTAATTTTGTATTTTTAGTAGAAACAGGGTTTCTCCATGTTGGTCAGGCTGGTCTCAAACTCTTGACCTCAGATGATCCACCCACCTCGGCCTCCCAAAGTGCTGGTATTACAGGCATGAGCCACCACACTTGGCCGAGTATATGGATTTTTTAATAAGGGGAATGGTTCCTGGAATAAATTCCTCACATATACTGAGGGATATCTGTAGTCACACAAAGACATACAGTAGTATTCATAGCAGCTTTATTCATCGTAGCCAAAAACTAGAAATAATCAAAATGTCCATCCAACTGGCAAGTGGATTAAAAAAGTACTACTCAGTGAAATACTGCTCAGCAATGAGCAGAAATAAACTAATGATAAAGCATAATATAAAATTCTCAAAAACATTAAGCTGAGCAAAAGAAGCTAGACACAAAAGAATACATAGATTTCTATTTATATGAGATTCTAGAATATCAAAAGTAAACTATCATGACAAAAAGCGGGTCAGTGTCTTCCTGGTGCTGAGACTTGAAAGGAGAATGGATGGCAAAGGGGGAATGAAAGAACCTTTGGAGATGACAGAAAATGTTCCGTATCTTTATCGTTGTGGCTGTCACACAGATTTATACATTGGTCAAACTTACTGAACTCTTCACTTGAAATGAGTGAATTTTATTGTATTCAATCAACAAAATATTTTAAAACATTTTTAAGGTGAATTGCAAACAAACTGAATGGTGACAAAATGATCAGAATAAATGGTTAGTTACAACATAGAACAAAGACAGCCTTTCAATATGTGAAAGCTTACATTTAAAATCTACCTATACTATGCTGCAGGTGTTTATGTAGGTAATAGAGACAATCACTGTGTCTGATAGGAAGGTAAGGCACTGTAAATTAATTTTAGCAACAAGAAGGCAATATAGCATATATATACTCTCTAAACAACTCTTCTTACAGGTCTTTATGAGGCTGAGGAGGAGTAGAAAACCAAAGTGGAAACTTTGGATCTTAACCTTTAATTGAGAAATTTTGCTAGGTTATTGAAAGTTTTTTTCCCAAAGGTTGTGAGAAAGTTAAGAAAACTGATTCGGAAAACGAAAGTAAGCCCAATGCCATATCAAGGAGCCAAGTGAACAATACTTGTTGAATATATTACTATCATATTAGACGGGCATTTTTGACAGTATTTGCCTCATTTACAAGCCTGTTCTGACATTGTTTTAAAAACCAGTTGAGGTAATGTATGCTTTGATATTTGCATTTGTCTAACTGAATAATGCTTGATCTACTTTGAAGACACAGGTGTCCAATGATTGTTAGCAAATCTATTTATTATAGAGTGCATTGACCCTAGAAACACCCACATTAGGTCTCTGACTTAATTATTTTTTGTGTTTATAGCTTTTGTAGTAATCTTAAGTGGGTATATTCCTTCTTGTCGTCCCTCCCTAGCTTATGTTCAGTCTAAGGAGTTCTGTGTTAGATGGAATTCTAAGTATAAAATCAGATTGTATAATTCATTACTGAATTCATATGTTCATAAAAGTAGTGTCTCAAAAACTTTAGTCCAGTAGAAAAAAATGAGAAATAACATGGCCTAGGACAGGGTCCCCAACCCCCAGACTGCAGACCAGTACTGGGTTGTGACCTGTTAGGAACCGGGCCACATAGCAGGGGGTGAGCAGCAGGTGGGTGAGCATTGCTGCTTGAGCTTCGCCTCCTGACAAATCAGAAGTGTGTTAGATTCTCATAGGAGTACAAATCCTATTGTGAACTGCGCATGCGCGAGGGATCTAGGTTGTTTGCTCCTTATGAGAATCTAACCAATGCCTGATGATCTGAGGTGGAACAGTTTCATCCTGAAACCATCCCCCTCCTGGTGGAAAAAATGTCTTCCACAAAACCGGTCCCTGGTGCCAAAACGGTTGGGGACTGCTGGCTTAGGAGAGAGGAGATCTGGTTTCTTGTGCTAAGTCTGTCCAACTTAATTGGTGGACAGTCTTAGGCAATTCTCTTAATATTTCTGCTTTTTGTTTATTTAACAATAAGATGAAGATACTGACCACTTCATCTTTGTCGTTTTACCCTAAAATGATAAGACGGTGATGTTTTATGGGTAAACTATGCTGAAATCATAGACAGTGATTTAGTATGAGGAAACTACAGCAGTGAAGTTTTAAAATAACGTACTTTAGTTAATCTGAGTAGATTAATTATATTTACTGAAGAATAGATCTATTAGTAATAAAATGTAAATATTGTGGGATTATGATTACATGTCTTAGCTGTATTTCTTGTAAACATGTTATGTTTTCAAATTAAACAAAAGTCATAGTAAAAGGCTTAATTTTGTTACGAATTAGTACCTTCTATTATCTTACTAGGGTTTTTAAAATAACCACGATTGCTAACAGAAGAAAAAAAAGACCTTTTCAAAGACTTAAATGGGAGAGAAAAGAGAAAAGTTCAGACCCTCATGACCACTGCAGGTATCAGGTTTGAGAATATTTAATGTTTATGGAGCAACAACTTGTACAAAGGGTGAGGGAGTTTCACCCATTTGAAGTTCTGCCGCTTTGAGCTTTCACACATAATTCAGGCTCTATGAATATGTACAACGTCTGTTTCCTGAGACTTGTCTGACCATGTGGGGGAGGGTTTGCTCAATATGTAGATGGAGAGATGTCAAATTAGGAGCAAGAAACAGTTTTATTTTCCGCTAGCAGCACCAGAAATCCATTTATATCTTCTAGGTCATTTTCAGTATAGTTTTGTGCTGAGTGTCAAAGATGGTTCAGGAACCTAATAGTTGAAGGATAAATAGTGGTTGAAGCATGAGGGTCACCGATTCTTTATAATCTTGTGAGAAAATCCAGCTCTTACTTCCCCAGAAACAACTAAAAACAGTAGAGGGTGGCAGAACTTTCAAGGTCGTTTTTCTTTCAATTCAGTAAAGACTACGTCAGAAACACAACAAGCTTCTAATTCAGCCTTTTTACCTAGAAATATGCCCTTCCTTTGAGGAAGCAAGAAGCAGTAAGGGAATGCATGGCAACTATGAGATAACATTTTAAAAGGAGATCATTATTACAGAAACTTTAAATGACAGATTTGGATTTTGGAAATCATAACATAAAGTTATCTATTACTATTTTATAGGGATAATGACCAAGAGAAGATGAAACATAATGACTTTAAAACAGCTAGAATGATATTCAAGTAATATCTGGAGGATAGTCAAAAAGTCTAGGAGGAGTGAAACCGTGATTATGAACTAGTTAGATATTTTATATGAAGCCTAGGAAATATTTTACGAAAATTCAGGTTCCAAAGCAGGATAAAAGAAAGTTTATAGGTAGAAAACTAAATGTAAATGATAAAAATCACTATTTGAATAGCAAGATAATAATAAAAATCATTGTCTAAGTTTTCATCCTTTGTTTTCCCAAGATATTAAGTATGAAAATTTAGAGGAAGAATATTAAGGATAAGACAATGTGAGAATTTTTACACTGGCCAGAGGGTGGGGCAACCCATCAAAACCTTCTGTTCTAACATACAACCTGCACTGCCTTTATTATTCTCTGTAGCTGAAGGAAGAAGAACAATACAGATGGGAAAAATATATTCTCTCCAAAGGAATCACAGGATATGCTTGCCTTGTAGAGAGGCGCACTGTGGTCATAATAATAAATGCCTTATACATCTGAAGAAAATTGACCAATAGTATTGTCCATTAATTTGCTGAATAAATACACCCAAGAATCACAAAATACTTTTCACATCTTACTAATATCTTATATGCTCAATAGCAAAACATTATCTGTGATAAATATTAAAATAAATTTTTATGACAGAACATTCCCTAATTAATAAAATAAGAAAATCTTTTCCCTTCAACCTCCCTTGCATCTTGTCCCAAAGTATATGAAATTTTACGGGAACTAATAATTAATGATTCCCAACAGAAGGCTTTATACTGAAAAAATGTAAAGTAAACTTTCACAAACAACAGATTCAGCAAAACCAATATCAATACAACTTCTAAACATCTCTAAAGGTACATTTAAGTATCTATAGAACATTTCTTTTAAAAATAGTAAATGTCTCATACCTGGGATGTTATATAAAAAGTCCCATAATTGCTCTTCTTCCATGTAGCTCACAAAAACATTTGCAAATGTTTGTGGAGAAAAACTGCAATGGTACAATATTTTAAAGATGGCTTCCACCAAGCTGGGTCCTTGGTTCAGGTTACTTTCTGTGTCAGAAACTTGTTCTTGAAAGGTACGTTCTTGAAAGGAATCAAAATGATTTAGTAAGGTATCAGTGAATATGATGAAACTCTTATTACATACACTAGCATAATGCTGTGGAAATGGTTTTTAATAATATTTACATAATCAGAGAATTACCACATTATTTCAAATCAATGGTCCATCCAACTCAATGTTGTTTCTGAGATATTCATGGATATTTATGGAAAAACAGACAAACAAAAACAACAACCAAAAAAACCTGTGAGAAAGACCACAATGACACCACTTCAAGGTCAACACTAGTTTCCCTGTATGTCATAATTCTTCTTTCTCTTAAGAAAACTTTTTTGTTTCTTTTTCTAATTTAAGAATAATAGACATTCATTCTAAAAAAAATTGTTTTAATCTAGACAACTAGGAACACTAACATTGTACCATGGGAAAATTCACATTTGTAGTTTTTCCAGAATTATGCTATCAGTTCTACAAACAAATTTATGAGTGTTTCTTAAATCCACAGATCTTGTCATATCAGACTGAAGAGTTTTATCAATTCGTTCCTCAATAAGACTATATAAAGAATTCAACAAAAATTGGGCCATTTTAATTGTCCTTTTCAACCCTCCTTTGGCTCCATAACGGCCTTCTCAAACATCAGTAATCATAAGTTTCTGTACTATTCCATTCATAGTTTGGATGGAAAGGTGAAATAATATTTTGTTTTCTATGGATAATAAGCATGAGATATGTACTATTATAATAAACAACATATTTATTGGGTTAAAGATAACAAATTATATTTTAGCTCTTATATTTTAACTATATTGCATAAATGTAATCTAAAGTATTTCAGAACAAATAGATATCTTTATTCTTGCTCATTTGGAATATCATTACTTTTATGTTTCCTCTTGAAATTTTTTTTCTGTGATTTGATTTTGATGATCTAAAGGAGCTCACTGTTCTCTTCAAACTGAGAAATAACATCATAGACTTTATGTGGAGAACATTATTGGTTTTGCTTCCTAATACCCATTTTCTTTCTTTTCAAAACAAGTTAGTTTTCCTTTAGCGAGATATCCCTGCTCCCGTCTGTGTGCCTCACCCCTCCATCCTCCCAACCTTAACCCCCACCCCCCACAAACACTTAGATTATTTGGTTCAGGTGAAACCAACTCTATCATCTGGAGTGGGCATGTAACCGAGCCCTGGCCAGTCAGACCATAACCCCTCGCACCAACAGTGACTGGTTCAGGAATGGGCAGGTATCCAATGAGAACCTTCTTTAGGATTTTTGCTAGAATTGTTGGCAAAGCAGTGTTTCAGCTGAAAGTTGTTGAAAACCATTTTGGGGAGAACTTGACTAAGAATGAATCTGACATAGTAAGAAGCAGAACTAGGAAAAGGAGAGAAAATTCCTAATGAGATGACACTGTTTGAGGACCTGGATCCAGCAATGCCTACATATTTATGCTTGCTGAGCTGACAAATTCAGCCCTCCTACCCACTTTTATTTTCTTTTGAGATAGGGTCTCACACTGTCTCCCGGTTGGAATTCAGTGGCATGATTTTTAGCTCATTGCAGCCCCAAACTCCTGGACTCAAGTGATTCTCCACCATCAGCTTCCCAAGTAGGTCTAAGGTGTGCATCACCACACCCAGCTAATTCTTTTTTGGATTTTTTGTAGAGATGGGGTCTTGCTCTGTTGCTCAGTCTGGTCTCAAACTCCTGGCCTCAAGTGATCCTTCTACCTCAGCCTCCCAAGTGCTGGAATTACAGGCCTGAGTTGTCGCACCCAGCCAATTTTCCCTCTTTTGATTAAACCAGGCTAATTTGGATTTCTGTTACTTGCAGTCTAAATGGTCTTGACTTTGTCCCCAAGCATAAAATGTGAAATGGCAAATATTCCTAATCCAGGCTTTCATAATTTAATATTTTATCCAAATAGTCTCTGCAGTTCCCTCTTCTTTCCGCTCCCTCCTATTCATCTTACATAAAATTACCCATTATCCTCATGTCATTCCTTGCTTTAACCTTCCCCTTCCCCTACTGTTAAAAATTCCTTATCCTGATTGAGGATCAAGAGTTCCACAATACTTTCCCAAATTATGTTCCAACCCCCAAACATCTGTTCTACCCAGCAGAGTTTATTTGCTTATAAACGTGCCCTCCCATCTCCTTTTCTTTTTCTATGCCATTTCATCAGGCTATAATGTTCTCCTCCAATAAAATCATCATGATTTAATCAATAAGTTAATTGATTAATCAACTGCTTCCTATGTGTCATTGGGCCAGGTGCTGAGGCCATCCCCTTCCAGGGGCTCAAGGATTGTGCATATATATGTATATTTTGTTGGGGGGGGGGAGGAGATGACAGACAAGTAAATAATTATTACTTCAACATAAGGAAAAGGTGAGTGACCATGCATCTGAGTTTGCTGGGGCAGTCCTGGTTTAGGTCTGTTGTCCTGGTGTAATTACTAGTAGCATCCTCTTTCACTTTTAAAAGTGTCTCAATTAGGATGATAAATTGTTTGATCAACTTAAGTCTAAGTGCTTTCAGTATGAGGCACTGTGGAAATGCAGAGGATGATGCTTTAAATTTTTTCAGGGAACACAGACAAGTCACAAAGCAGACCATGTCTCAGCCAAGTCTTTAAGAAGGAGTAGAAGTTTATCAGCATGACAAGATCAAGGTGGAGAGTACTTTCCAGGAAGACCGAAGAATTGGTGAAACGTTGAGAAGACAAGCAGTTGCTGGCAGTGTGATGTGGCTGAAGTGAGACTGCTGTGAGGAAGATGGGAGATGAAGCTAGGCAATCAACAGAGCATGAATAATATACAGCCCTGCAAATCATGCAATGGAAATGCACATGCCAGGGTGAATATGAGGAATAGTTCTATGGAATGGGTGTTGTTTTTCCCAGTTTTACAGATGAACAAAGTAAAGTGAAGAGAAACTAAATGACTTGTCACAAGGTCACAAAGGTAGTAGGAATTTGTTTGTGCTGTCTGAATTACACTATAATCCCAAATTTCTCAAAGCCTGCTTTGACATTTTATTGACAATAACCATTGAATGCAAAGCACTCAGTCCAAACTATGTATATGGTATGTGGTAATGTATTGCCTTAATGCAAAATTCTTTAATTTCATATGGCATTCTACATTTTCACATATATTGTCTTGTTACATCTCTAGTACTATTTTCTATATGACTTTCTATGGATGCACATCTTGTCTTTAGGTATCTTCCAACAGCACATGGATCAGTGCTACATGTTTAATATTAAATTTTAGAAGGAATAAAAGAAGGAATGTTTAGTACTAAAGAAGGAAGAAATGTTTTAATACTAAAGAAGGAAGAAAAGAAGGAAGTAAGGCAGAAAAAAATAGATTGTTTTCATACTAAAACAATGTTTTAATGCTAAAGAAGGAAGAAAAGAAGGAAGGAAGGGAGAAACAAATATATCTCTTGAGTATTTTGTGATAGGTTTTGGTCCATCTAGAAATTGATATTTTGGAATGGCACATAATGACCTGCTAGTCATAACGTTCAAAGATTTTTTTCCCTAAGCCTCATCCTCCCCACACCCACTGTATCCTTTCTTTTCACCTACTCCTTTGAAATCCTCCTCTCTCTTGACTTCCTTGCAGCTATACTTTCTTGGGTTCAGAATTCCTTTTTGGCAAATCTTTTCTGGTAGCTCTTCCTCTTTTATCTGGGGTTGGCAAGTTTTTTCTATAAAGGGCCAGATACTTTATGTTTTGTCAGCCATTTGGTCTCTGTCTCAACTATTCAACTCTTCTCTTGGAGCGCAAAAGCAACTATAAACAATATGTAAATGAAGGATCAAGGCTATGTTGGACTAAAACTGTATTTACAAAAACAGGTGATGGGAAGGGGCATTTGGTTCATGGGGGCTCCCCCAGAACAGTGACCTTAGCCTTCTTCCAGCCTCACTGCTTTTTACCTGGCTTAGCAATTCTGTTTTCCTTTGACTTGAAAGATTCTTTTTAAGCAGAACTTTCCAAATTATCCATTTCTGGCTCTGACCTTTCTCTTTTATGCTCATTGCTGTATTCCCTAGTTCTGTCTAGATCACCATATATGCTCATCTCTAGGCTCAATGCCCTAGCAGTATTTATTTCTTCTCTGAATTGTTAGATGTAATAAAATAAACATCTCTACCCCCATTCCCCTTTTCAAAATGAATTGAATGTTCATTTTTTTCCCCCAATATGTCCCTTCTTCTTTGATTCTAACAGCATTAATATGGTTTAGGTTTTCTTTTCCTCTTGTTTTAATCAAAATACTTCTGAGAATATGTATTAATTTAAACTCCTCTAGCTGCCCTTTAAAGTCCTCCATAATGCTTTACATATCCAGACTTATAATTTTCTCTGATTCCCCAATATTCCAAGATAATTTCTACTTTGGGCCTCATTCATCATCTAATAAGGCTTGGAAACCTGGTGAAAGTCCACACCTTTGCCAGGCGCTCATCCATAAACATTGCTCTTCCTTAGGTTTTGAACTTCTTACACTATTGGGATATTCTTCTTGTGCTCTCTTTCATTCTGATATTCCCCTGTTCCTTTCAAGATGACTCAGCAATAGTTTAATTCTTTTAACCTGCTCTTTAATTTAGTCCTAATGGGGTTTAGGATGCACTACCCCAAAATATGGCCCCTTGGCATTTGAGAAAATAGCAGAAGCAGGAAGGTTTCTTTGACTTTCTCCTGCCCTTTTCCCCTGAAACAGGCCTTCACAGAATTCTGACTTTCCTCTAAAGTAGGTCATTCCAGAGGTGCCCTCTGTATAGCTGGAAGAAAGAAACGTCCCCCTCTCTGAAAACACAGGGACACAGAGAAGCATGTGGGCAATCAGACTTTGCTAAATTCCCCCCAGTTTATGGCCATTAAATTATACTCCCTTTGTCCAATCATACTTCTGCCCCACTGTCCATTCTTCATCACACCTAAATATAAAATAGAAAGGTTTCCCTGTGTCTTCAA